GAGGAGAGATATTTATCTGCAAAGGAGGGCTTGTTCTTGTTATACCGTGACCTGTTTTCGTATCTCTTAGGAAAAGGCTTCCTGTAGCGGGTGTGACTTTTTCGTTTGGAAGGAGGGGTTAGGTTTTCGAAGCCGAATTGTTGGCAAAAAGTTCCTATTTCCTTTCTGCTAGTGGCATTCTCATGCTTGATTTGCTGTTGGAGCTTGAAATCAGTACAGAGAGCAATTCCTTCAGCTGTGATGGTACTGATGATGTCACCATAGGTGAGGGAATCATAAGGAATATGTCCATTGTGTTTTGATCTGAAATGCTTGCGAATTCTTTCAGCAAAAAGATTGGGGAGTCCAGCAATAAACTTTTCTTTCCAAAAGGCTTAGTTACAATCAGTCCTGGTGAGGACCTTTGAGAGGAAAACATCCTTGTACCATCTGAAATCCTGGAGTTTGCGGTATCTAAGGTTAGCTAGGATTTCTGAGGTTTTGTCTCTAACAATTGAGAGGTCACCGAGGAATTGTTTAGCAATAGAGAAAATGAGAGTAGTAACTACATCTTCTATATCTGCACCTTCTTCTATTTTGATAACTGTTCCTTCAGGAGTTGTTTTAACAGAGTTAAGAATGGCATGTCGTTTATCTGGAGTGAGGATGTTGTCCCACCATCCTTTGAGTTGGCCTGTGAATCCTCCTACTAAGAGTTGTGCTATAACATGATCAGAAGAGTTATTCTTGGTTTTGTAAGCAGTGCTGACCATTGTCATTTCTTGAAGTGTATTGAGAATGTGATACTCAGTTTTGCCATCTATGTTCCATTCATAAATGGTGCCACCATGATAAGCAGCTTGGGAGAACTGGCCTCGTTCTTCGATCTGGAGGTCAGAGAAAGTAGGCCTGGGATAGTAGTTTCGAGAAGAAGTTGGTTCTAAGGTATTGACGTGCTGGTTCTGGAAGACCTCAGTAATTTCATCAATTTCAATATCAGTACCAATTTCTTGGTCAAGAGTATTGATGGCTCTAAGAGGCCTTTCAGGCGTATCCGAAATCGTAGTCGTGGAGGTCATAAGGGATTCGATATGCTTAATCCTGTCCTGTGCTTCTTCAATGGCACTACGCTTTGATAGTTGTGTAGAGAAGTGTAGGGGGATTTCATGGGGTATGAAAGGATGAGCATTATCAGATTGAATGGGGATGATTTGTTCTTTCTGAAGCAAGGTTTCCACACGAGAAAGTTGATCGCCAAGTGTCTGAAGGTGTTGGTTTGTGTGGTTATTTTGTTCCATGATGCTTCAAACATCACAGGTCGTGGATGGGGTATTGTCGTTGGCTACTGCCTTTATCTTGAAAGGAGAAGCAGTAAGTGTAACCGTTCCTGATGCTTTTGTCTTGAATTCGATTGCCTCGGCTGGGGGATGGATGGCTTCAATGGCATCACCACGGGATGTTTGCTAGGTAGTGGTGGATTTGGTTGTGACATTTAAGGATTTGATTGTGAAGAAAGGAAAATCAATATTGTTGTTGAGACAATATTTTTCAAACCATGTAAAGAAAGGGACTGAGAACTTGTGGTGTATACAAAAAGTATACCACTCTTCTCTAATAAGGATGGTTTTTTGAGCAGAAAAAGTTTGGAAATACCATTGTCTTTTTGGAATTATTGATCGCAGAGTAGAAATCTTTGCGTAGGAAGTCTTCATTGATCTCATAAACCTTTTCTATCATGTAGAGCTGATGAATCTGATGATTGGGATCTTCAAATTGAGAATCATTTGGGGATGGAGGAGAATTATGATGATCTTCGTTTAAAGGAGGGTTTTGCAGACCTTTGTTTTGAGAACCAATTTGGGTAGGTAAAGGCGTGCGGTGAAGATGAGGGATGTTTTCTTCTTCAGTCTGTATGCTAACATTGTCCTGGTAAACTGGGTTAGCAACTTCTTTGTTTTTGACACTGACGAGGTTTGGATATCTTGTAGGTGTTCCTGAAAATGATTTTCGGGAAGGGGCTTTTGAATAGTTTGTGTAAGAAGCATGAGAAAAAGAGGATGTAGGTCTTTCTATTTCTTGGATAGAAAGTCTATTGGGCCTGTTAGAATTAAATCTAACCTTTACCGAGTCTATTGGGACTGTTAGAATTAAATCTAACCTTTACCGTGCCATCAGAAAATTGAGATATTTGTTCCAACCTTTTATTCTCGATCTTTGAAGGAGGAGCTGTATGCTCAAGAGTTCATTCTTCCGGAAAAGTGACTTCATTCCAAGTGATGGTTTTTGGAACATAGGTTTGTGAATTTTCGTCACTAGCATAAAGAAGAAGGGTTTCTCCTTTGGGAGACTCACGAAGAGTATGAGGGCTGACTTGGGTAGTATAGACTCTGTAGTGGATTCTATAGACAACATTGAAAGGTATGGCTCCATCCATCATTTTATAACCACTACTTGAGACATTAAGGGTTGAAGTATGGAGGATTGTTGGATCATCAAGAGCTACTGAATAATTTGGAAAACAATTGAAGTATTGTGGGTCATCAAAAAGACTAGTTTGGCAAACTCCTAACAAAGAGGTTTCAAAATTGAGATGCCTACAATCTCTAAGAGTAAGCATGATAACAGTGTTAAGTCCCCTTGAGGTAAGAGGTTTAACTGCAATTTGGACAAGCCCTATATGGAGGAATTTGTACTTCTTTTTGTGTTCTACTATGGCTTTTTTTTGCAAAAATTTGATGACTTCAAAAGGGTTTTTGAGAGAAATAGTTTGTTCAACAGTTTTGATGGAGTATCCTATTTTGAGGTTGAAAGTCGAAGATTTGTAAATATCCCTAATAGGAACCTTGGGTATATTCCAAGTATCCCATTGATCATTCTGACCACTATCAATATGCTGTTCTGCTTGGTTAACATGATCTATTTGTACAAATGTCATAGTTTAGGAGTGTTTTTTGCATAGGAGGGATATAATATGCACTATAAACATATTATAGGGGTATTTTTTGCACTTGGCCAACTATATATAGATAGCTCGAGGTCAAGTGGAGCTTGGGCAACTCACTAACTGGCTTGGCCAAGGTGACCTCTCACACTGTTATTGGATACTAGTTACCAATAATGTAGTACCCAGATAAACTAAATGAATTGTATGTATTACTCATCATCAAGGAAAATATTATATAGTCCGCAACCCAGGTATCCAATATTAAACCCTTTCAAATCCAATGTGTAGAATTTAGTTGAAGGCATGACCACGTGTATAAGAGGAAATTGCAGCCATGGTTGTACTGGCTGGCAATGGACCCGGTTTGATTGACCTGTAAGTGTTTGGGTCCCGGTCTGCACCCGTTTGGCCGTTGACCTGCATATGTGTTGGCCAAGTCTGAAAATTAACAAACCCAAGCCTAGCCAGCAGGCTAGATGTAACGGGTAGGCGCTTGCCCATTTATTTTCATTTATTCAAAAAATTAAATTGTTAAGTGATGCTACATACTCATTTGTTATTCGATATGGACCAATACCCCATGTAACACTAGGTCACAGGCCTCTTGGATCTAAATTTTTCCTTCCGTTGTAGTTGTACATCTCAGCTTTTTCATAGTGTAACTGGACTTTCAATAGAGTTATGATAAAACCATGAAAAACATTCATATTGCTCCATTTAAAAATGGGTACAGTGCATTAAACCCCCTTGAACTATTGGTCATTTGCAAGAAACCCCCCTGAACTATAAAAAACCCCCCTGAACTATGATTTTGTTACAATTTACCCCCTTGAACTATTGGTCATTTGCAAGAAACCCCCCTAAACTACAAAAAACCCCCCCTGAACTATGATTTTGTTGCAATTTACCCCCCTGAACTATGATTTTGTTGCAATTTACCCCCATGACATCAGCTTCCGACACCGAAAATTTTGAAAGACCAGTTTACCCTTATAACACACTGCGTCGTTTTAACTTTTACACTTCTTACATTTTTTTTCTGCCAAAAGATGTTTTTCACCCAACACAACCCAAAACAGAGAGCTAGAGAGAGAGAAAAAAGACCAAAGAAATCCGAGGTTGGCGGAATGGCTCGGTCTCGGATGATGGCGGCTTGTGCGCGGAGGACTCGGTTGTGATGAGAGCTTGGTTGACTCAGTCATGAACTGTGGAGGCGACGGTGAGCTCAAGGGGGCTAGGCGGTGAATTGTGGATGGCTGTGTGCTCGAAACACGGACGGCGGTGTGCTTAGTTATGGAGATGGCGGAATGGGCCAGCGAGCTTGGAATGGACGATGGAATGGATCGGCGAGCAAGGTGAGTTGAACGGCGGGCAAGGCGGTGACGGCGATGGGCTGACGCAACGGTGCAGAGAAGTGCGATATATATGGCCGACGGATCTGGCGGGTGGTGCAACGGCTATGATGGAGCTATGATAGGAGACCCACCGATCCCAGCAACAAATTCCTCGGCTTCATCGTCCCTTTCAGTCAATCAATTCGCTCGGATGGGATAAACTGCAAAAATATATATAGTTCAGGGGAGATTTTTGCAACTTGTATAGTTCAGAGGGGTTTCTTGCACATATTCCAATAGTTCAGGGGGATTTTTTGCAACTTTTATAGTTCAGAGGGGTTTCTTGCACATATCCCAATAGTTCAGGGGGATTTAATGCACTTTACCCTTTAAAAAATATATATATTTATTTAACCATCTCACTCCAGTCTCTTTCTCTCCACGTCATCTAGCATATTCTGAATGCCAACTCATTACAAGACATCCCAAAAAACAAAAAGATAAGTTTTGGTAATGCAGTCGAGGATAACCAGAAGAATCTAATGACATGCTTCAAAGGCCACCTGTAATGATGGTGAAACATAGGCTCTGTTTCAAGATTAACCTTGTAATGCATTCAAAAACCTCACAGAAGGTTCCTTCTTGTGATAACAAATTCACATATGCTTACTGCGAAGTACACTATAAAATCATAAAAAAAAATTGCTGTAAATTGGAACAGCTTAGATTTTCTTTGCTCAAACTTCTCAAATACAACTTCTATTACAATATTTTGTATATTCCTACAAGAGTAATGTTACTAATGTACAATGTAGATAATACAAAAGACCAAAAAAAAAACAAAAAACAAAAAACAAAAAAAAAAAAAAAAGAAAAAACCAAAATTACTCTGCAATGGCAGGAATCAGGACTATACCTAACTGCATCACCTCATTTACAACAAATTAGATTCCTCTGAGACGTAGCTTGGAGTTTTCTTACTCGGGCAATTCGTAGCCGGAGATGACTCAGTCGTGAGATTTTTATTCATAATACGGATAGGTTTAATTATCTCATCCACTTGTGCATCTGCAAAGTCACCATCAGACAGGGTTGTTCGCTCTCTTGCTGAATCACCAGTTTCTCCATCTTCTTCATCACTAACATCGAGGCTGATATAATCAGCAAATCTCCCTTCTTGAAAGAAAATGTCGTCATCATCATCCTTTGCAGAGTGCTTCTCAGACAGAGTCATTCTGCACTCGGCAAAGTCTATATGCCTGGAGCCAAAATAACGCCCTTGAGTGTTTTTCTGTTCTCTCGGAGGTTTCTTTTTCTTTCCCTTGGTTCGATTTTTAGGGTGGTGAAGCTTGCAGTTGGAACCTTGAGGACAGATTCCGGTTGCTTCAAAGATAGGGCAGACATAGCTGTGCTTCTTTCGACACTGCAAGTTTAGAGATGTGATCCGTTTTACTTGTTTCAAGATAAGTGAGTTGTGTGCATGTAGTACATGAAGTGAGGGGGGAATCAATCATGGTATATATTAATTCTCAGACAGACATTATAATAATATAGTGATCTTAAATCAAAGCCAAAAGTGGCAACAAATTGAATCGACCAATAACATAAACCAAGCCCACAAATAAAAGCGAGTTGATAACCAAAGGTTAATGCCAGCTTCTTCGAGTCAATTGAACTAAACACACATTATAAGCATGATAAGCTATAGCAGGTGGATGCAAGCATGTTATTTAATTGTACCCAACTTTGTTACATGGACTCTCCTTGTACCTGTGTCGACATGACACGACATGCCGACACACAGACCCAAATTAGACACCCCGATAAAAAAACTCAAATTTAATACCAGAGATGAGCTTTCTAGCTATGATATAGATGAAAACCCGTTTCTTTTACCACGTCATTTAATCTGAGTAATAATTGAGTATATTCATATAAAACAATAAAAATTATACTATAATAAAACATATATTGTATTTATTTGCGTAGTATGTGTCTACATACCCGTATCCAACTTTTGGACGCATCCCCATGTGCCAAGATTCGGGATTTGAGGGATCCAACACACACACACACGAATCCAACTTTTGGACACATCCCCATGTGCCAAGATTCGGGATTTGAGGGATCCAACACACACACTCGTACTAGTGTACTGGAGTCCGGGTACCAATGCATGGTCTATTTTTTTTCCCAATTAAATAATGCATGGTCTAATTCTCATCCTAAAAAAGTAAATCAATTTATTGGGTGAAAAATAACAACCAAATACCAGCAATACCTCATCTCCATCAGCACAATAGCCCCTGAGAAAACCTTCACAAATAGAGGAATTTGGATTCACATTTACATGTCTATAAGGACAACTCTCATTGTTGCACAATCCTGCCACGAAATGAGTCAGAATTTGCATATTAAGAATTTGACAGGAAAGAAATACAATATAGAAAAACCCACCTTGCAGAAAATAAGAACAATCCTGCATTCTTTCGGGAATGACCTGCAAGGGAGTATGATCAAGGGGGGAAAATAGATTTTTTTTAAAAAAGGGCATAACTTGTGGTTGTCCACAAAGTTATACAGTAGAGATAAATCAATAAACCTTGTGAGTCAATTTGCAGTTCGGATTGGAGCATGATCCATTCAAAAATTTTGTACAGACAGCAATCTTAGAGGGATCGTGAATGTAAGGACATTTTCCATCATCCTTATTACATTTCCCGAACCTCGTAAAAAACTGACAGTATTGCCTCTTTCTGGCCAACCGTAATCTGGCAGTGTGCAAACTCCATCGAACTTTCTCACTAGCCAAGATGCGAGTTCGTTTCTTTGGATCTCTAATCAGCTTGTTACCATTGCCAATTCGCACATATCTGCCAACATCAAAGAACAAATATGCAACCAGTTCCGTGATTGTAGACAGTGATTACAAATCTAAGGGTTTCTTCATTGCCAATTCACACAGCAAGTAAAGGACTGCAGTGGATTTGGCCAGACTTGGTGGGAAATTATGGATTTATCTGATGCTCATCTTGTAGACCTTTTTTGAGTGGCAGTTTTTGTTTCCTTATGCATTTAGCTCTGCCATCCTGTTTAGCTTTTCATGCTTCTGTATTTGAGCCTTGAGGCTTTTTTTTTTTTTTTTCAGTTGGTACTCACACACACATGCCTCCACCGAGGCTCGAACCTGACCTCCCTTTGGGAAGTAGGAGTCTGGTACCGCTAGGCCACTGGCTTTTCTTTTAACAAGCCCTTACTTGTATTCTTGTACATTATTGTTTTATGTATATAAGTTTCTGCTTGCCCAGGGAAAAAAATTATTCTTCCTTCTATTTTTTAGTTTTCTACATCATTAATATCAACAAACAAATTTCAAAGTCATTTATAATAAGTACGTAATGCAGGATATGATACATTCCGAGTGCATCAATAGAAAAGTCAACATACTCATCATTGCCAATCATTAATCTCCTTGGAACATAAGGTTTCTTGGCATTCTTCCCAAATTGGAGAGCATCTGAACGTGACAGCTCCTCATCTACACCGAACATGGAAAAAGTTACAAGGCCAAAATCCCGAATTAAGGAAAACCTCAACTTACTGATAATATAAAGATATCATATTAACACCATTTATAAGAATAAAGAAGTGAAAACTAAGGTTATCAAACTATGTTAAAACAGTACCTCATTAAGAAATCTAACTCAAGAAAGGGACATCAACTTAACAACATCATTTATAAGAATAAAACAGTCAAATTCCCAAGGTGTCGGCAGATTCCAAGTTCTCTCTCCTCCCCATATTATCTCAATTACCATATTGTAGTAACTTATTTCAGCAACCGATGTTTTTAAAATTATAACCATTGCAGGCAATTTATAAAATCAAGAACATCATCCCTTTTAATTCCAAATGTGCCCTGTCATTTTAATTCATCAAAGTCAGCTACCTCAAGCCATGCCCTTGTAAAACCAGTTCTGGACCCCAGCCCCAAACTAGTCATGGATTCAATTTCCTTTCTTATCCTACTTGTGAAAACCAAAAGTGCCCTGTCATTTTAATACATCAAAGTCAGCTACCTCAAGCAATGGCCTTGTAAAGCCAGTTCTGGACCCCAGCCCCAAACTAGTCATGGATTCAATTTCCTTTCTTATCCTACTTATTTTTGTATAAAATTTTTCAAAAGAAGAAAAATCCATTAGAACCTCACTATAAAAAAATTAAAAGATCCACGCCATTCACAGCATCTATTCATTCAATGATCTCTTTCAAATTCCCAATTATAACTTATCAGTGATAACTTTGGTAAGGACTGCCCAGTGCTTGATGATATAGATCAGCCTAAGAGATCCCTAGGAGGGCCTAGAAGTTGAGAAGTAGATTACAAATTGAACCAAAAGGGCAGGTCGCCAAACCATTCCACAACCTATAATATTCACATGTACCACCCAAAAATATGAAGGAAAAAGGGGAAAAAATAAAGATAAAATAATAGAAAAAGAAGTGAAGCATAAATAAAGTGACAACACAAAATATTCAAACTCTAATGGATCAAATGTTCATACTAAACTTTAAAAAGAATACTAGACTACAATACTATTCTTTTACCATATCATAAACAAAACACATCTATTCTTGAACCCAGTTGTCTATCAATATAACTAGATTTGGCATCATCTATAATATTCCATAGGTAAGATTTAACACTCTCCTAAATACCCCTAATTTACTTGTACACGTGATATAGTAATATCAAAGTTAATTCGCAGAAATAGTCCATAAAACCACTTCCAAATGGGCACACTCCTTGAAACGAAAGATTGAACTCAAAATAGAATAGTTTTACATCAAAGTCAAAAGCAATGATTTAAACTGCCAATTTCATCATTCAAGAACTACCAATTTATGTGTACAACATCAAGAAACTCCAGTAAACTAATTCTCCGTGAGATATAACAACCGAATTTTTTTTTTTTGTTAATTATGAAAGAAAAAAAAAATCTTTTTCTTTCGTTAAGTATTTTGAATCAATAAACTAATAAAATTAAATTATTGAATATGATTTTTAGGAACACGTCCACCCAAATGTGAACACATATCCCATACCCTTGTCCCTTGTCCAAGTGTAGAGTGCCTGACAGAGGTATTCATGTACTTTGAAGGGTCCATGTTGTTTAATGGAGGAATCAGTGGAGGAAAATCTTTCATTACAAGTCACAAATAGCACCGAGAAACCCTTAGCAACATTTCAGATGCTAAGGGAATACCCCAAAATAGGGGTCTGAACCTAGGAAGAGAAATTAGGCTCTGATACCATGTTGCAAGAAAAATAAATGTGAAGAGATAAATAAAACAAGTAGAACACACAAATATTACGTGGTTCAACCACTAGGGCCTACATCCACAGCACAAAGAGCCCAAAGGGCTACATCACTTTTATAATACTCTCTCAATTCATATACAATACAATGGTGGAGGCTCCTTAATATAGGAGAATAAATTATGAGAATGGAAAGAATTAGAAAATAGGAAACGACGATTTTTCTCCATCGATTCTTCTAGTAACACCAAATCTTCAATAATAGGAAACAACATCAATTACTAAAAGATTTTCCTCCATTGATTCCTCCATTAAATCTTTAATACATGTAACATAGCTAGATTCATTATTATTGTTATTTTGGATGAGTAAAGTATTATAAACATAGCTAAATTCATTTGTGCATCATAATTCTAATAATGAAAAAAGAAATGGAAATCAAAGCCAGAAAACAGGGGCAATACAGGAGACAAAAGAAATCCATCAGAGTAAGATATTTCCCCTGCAAACGTGGAAGTCTGACACTTTCTATAACTCTGTTTTGAGGTTACATCTTACCACCTAAATAAAGATAACTTGAGAAGTTCGTAGCATGGATGAGACAGAAAGTATGCAGATTCCAAACCAAAAAAGAACAGTACTTTATTAAAAACTTCGCAATCATTAGCATCAAATATCCCCTTATTTTAGATTGAAGCACAATGAAAAGAATGAAGAGTAGACCACCTGAAATCCTCTGAAGTGTCCGTCTTGTAGGATCCATTTTGTATCGGACTGAACCAATACGGAATATCCTCTCCCCTGTAATATAGTTAGATAATCCAAAAATTCATTATATTACATTCATAAGAAGAAGAATCATCAAAGCATCCTCATCAAAACCACATACTAAAGGTGCAGATCAGATGCCAATCATTTCACCCAGGGAAAACTGAAAATAAATATTTGCCACCACAAACTGACTTACGGGAAGAATGATTTCTACTCTTTGTGCCAGCAAGAACACAAGCAGCACCATTCTGTTCTCTTTTCTTCTTCTCTGCCGCGGCAACTGCTAGTGTGGCCTCCTGCAAAGAGAACGGCAATCATGGTAATTTAAGTAAATTAGTAATCAATTTCTTCTTACTGCAAGATCAACTGTCACTTGAGATTTCCAAGGAAGGAAAAAAGGTGCATTTATGAATGCTACAAGTCAATCAACCTCGTTAGCTTTTCTCGAGTTCCTTTCAATAGATTTTGACCACTTCAAACTAGTCCCATCAACGCTCAACACCTTCAATCTCCGAAGCGAAAATCCACGCATTGATCTTGTGTAAATTGTGTCTCTCTTTCTTGAGAGAAGCAATTTTCGACTGAAAACAAATACTCATTTATTATTCTCCCAAGAAAACAGGTAGAGATATCATAATTTTGAAGCCAGCAGCAGAAACAGAAGTAACAGCAGAAGATGCTAACATACCTGATAGAAGATAGGGAGCTATTATTGGAAATCAATGCCGAATTATGCATGAAACTTCTACAGTATGTTGCTCTTTTCCATGGAAACAGCTGTGGCAACATCTTCTGATGTTGCAATGAATTATCTTTCTTTGATGACTGCGTATCACATAGTGTCCAAACCAAGGAGAATTTTGAAGGTTTATATGTCTTCGCTAAACCTGCAAATGTACAACCATCTCAAGTCAGCCTGCTTACTGATCATGTCAAAAGAAGCTGAAAAATTATCCGTACATTCTTTCATTGAAAAAAATAAAAATAAAAATAAAAATAAAAAGAAGAGGAAGAAGAAGAAAAATTTACAACATGAAGGACTAGAAGCCTAAATGATAGATGAAGTGAACTTGCCAGATGGCACCATGATACAAAAATAACTTCGATATCAGCAAAAATCCTTCAACAACTGAGAAACCCTTTAGTGTTATCAGCAAGTTAAAAATATAAGCTTCTCCCCACACACTATGAAGCCCAAAAAAGTCGAAGTATCCATGTTGGAGACAGAAACGTCACACACCGCCTAACACGCGTCAAACTCACCAAAAAATGTGTCTGAATATATTTCCCTTTGTTTTCTTCTTAAATGATAGAAATTTCATTGTAGTTAATTAGTTATTATTATATGTGATTTTTCATTCATTAATTGATAAAAACTAATATTAGACTTCTAGTATATTATCACGTGTATAAAATATATATGTTTATTGTTCACCGTGTCCATGTGTCGTATCCGTGTCACATATCTAATCCGTGCTTCTTAGCTTGCAATTCTGTTGGGAAGTGAAGGTGAAGGAAAGTAAAATTACAGTCATGGGAAATTTTTTTGTATAAGCACCAAATTGCATCAGTGGGACAAGTTCAAAAGGAAAAAAACATTTCTCAAGTTCATGAAGTGGATAATCAATCAGAAAGCAGAATTCAACTTTTTTATTGACACCAAAAAAATGAATTGTAGCTATCCTATGCAGCCATCACATAACTTTATTTAAAAAATTACCTAATAAAAAAGATTAATGGGATATCAACTCTTGCAGTTTGTTCTCAGACCAACTAAACACGCAGCTTGATTACCAGAACAAAAGTGTGAAAAATAATCAAATTAATTCTCAAAATTGATTTCTTCAGTTGACATACTTAATATCATAAGATATAGTGTCTCCATTATTTTCATATTCCATTCATCATTTGAGATGACAAAACACTGGAGAGAGATGATCAATGGAAAAACTAATGTGTCCGTACAATTATACAAGTAGGAAATGTTAATCAACTTATTCCTATCTTTGCAAGGACAAGAAAGCAAGTATATACGACCAACACGGACAGGAAAAGAGAATATAAATTATATAAACTTCAAATTTTAATATTGACAACAGTCAGAAGTCACAATAAATATAAGCTTCTCCGCGTCTTATGCACAAAAATGCACTTCAATATTTTGCAAGTGAATGCCATTGAGCATCAGGGAGCATAGAGTTGCATATTGACAACAATATTGGTCCAATGACCAATATTATCAAACAGCATGACATGTTAAAGATTTTGAAAGAATATAATAGATAAAATCTCTTTTCTTTACGAATTTGCCTATATTTACAGTGTGAGACTGTAAAGATTAGATGCCATATACAAGCCAGTTTGCATATGTTTTCTGAAAACACACCTTTACCAGATCGCCTCTTACTAGAACTTGTGCCTGCAAAAACCTTGGAAGCTCTTTGCTCCTCTGAGTTTAAACTTTCATCAGCAACAGCAACTCTTTGAGTGGTGTGACTTTCTAACGATTTTCTGATGAGCTGATTTTTTCTCCTCTTGTAGTAGCCATTGGATGATAAAACTTGAGTCTTATTTGCATCCTGAATGGACAGATCACTGGAATTTGAAGCCACAACCAACTGATTTGATTTTCTCTTTACATACATTATCTTCTTCATTGTTACAGATGCCGAATTTCCTTCATCTCTTGCACTCTGGCCTTCCAAATTGTTGGTCAGACCACTTTGATTCTCAGGAGTTCCAGAAATTTTTGGAGCATCCTCAGAAGACTTGTGTATATCCATATTTTCTGTAAGCTGATCTGATGTAATTTCAGTGCCACCACTTTGGGGAGGATCTGCCAATGACGAAGATGTACAATCCCGTGAAGAAATGGTTGTGCAACTAGATAATTTGGTGCTGCAGGGTAATGGTGGCGTTTTGGGCCTCTCAGCGGTAGCATTCAATCCTGCTCTCAAGCAATTCGGTGGGTCAATAACGTCAACCCTGCTCTCAGATCCTGTGCTTTTCTTTATATCATTTTTACCCGAAGGATTCAACCGATAGACAGAGGAACTAAAAACATGGGAACCATGGGGAGGAGCAGCAACCGGAGAAGGTTTTCTTACAAGACTATTGCCTTTACGAATATAAGAAGTACTCTGAACCTTTCCAAAAAATCTAAACGACTGCCCTTGTGGAGGAATGTGGCTTGAATGAGAGTTCTTTCCTGGAAGAAAAGCAGAGGGATTACCCGTACGATGCCAGGTTCGGGGTTTTGCTGTTTGGCTTGAAGGCACAGTCTTCTTTGAAGTGTTAAAATGTAAAAATGATTGACCTGGAAAAACCCTAGGGACTGCAGATGTCGCCTGGTTCTTTCCAATGTTCAGTTTCTCACTCTTGGAAATCGTAGTCTGAGTGGTTTTCATGGTATCCTGAGACAGTAGTGATGTATCATATACCATAGCATGACCTGATTTCACGTTAATATTGGTGTTTTGTTTTTGGTCATCACCACAAACTTCTTCATTTGAGATTTGGCTAAATGATGATTTGGCAAAGAACACATGTGAACCCAAATTCAAGGTTTCTGGAGAACCCATAGTAGATAGTGTATCAGGCACAGACTCCATAGGATCATCACTCGAGTTGGTAGTAGAGACCACATCGTGATCGGCACACAAAGATGGTATGTCTGAAACAGAGAAGAAATCATTCTTTACAAGCAGATTACTGTTGCATTCAATATCCGCACCGGGGTGGACCTTTTCCCAGTCTAAGGCCCGAGTTCGTAAAGGAATTTCATGCTGAGCGGTTTCAATGTGAAGCATACCATGCTCTTCAACGGCAGGTGCAGCAGCAGTTGTTTCTCCTCTACTTCCGCTTTCCATATCAATGTCACTTTGAAGGTTGGCTGTGGCCATGCCAAGGGCCGCCATTTCTTTCTGCTCACTCCCCAACCCTGATGGACAAGGAGACTCATGCTCAAGATTTGAAGTATTATCAGTAAAGCCATCCCCTACCAAGTTCATCGACTCGAATGATCCCCCAGTTGCAGTGCCTTTGTTCAATTTGGTGATCGAATTTGAATAAGGTGGCAAACCAGCAGAACAAATTGTATCAATGCTAGATACTGCAATTTTATCTTCTGATTCTGTTAAGCCCTTGTCAATATTTAAGGGCATGTCTGCACTGGATATGCAAGCGTCAGCATTTACAGGCCCCTCCTGGATATCAGGCAGCATTTGAGAAAACAAACTTGGAGCCAAGACTTTCCGCTTCTTATTACAAATTGGAGTAATCCCATCTGGACCAGAAATAACACCACCTCTAACTGAAAGCTCAGCCTGGGATCCTTCAATTAAACTGTTCCCATTGAAAATGCTAATGTTGTCTGTACAAGGTTGTGAGCTAGCATCAATTCTCCCATCACCAGAAACTATAACTTCTCCTTCTGTGAAAACAAGATCCTTGTCGGGACAACTTAAGGGTGTATCTAAAGAATGTTCTGAAGTAACTGTTGTCAAAGGTACATCACCTGTGCTTGGACTTGACAAACCCAACTTATTCCCAATTTTCCTCTTCCTTGTAACCTTTGCTGTATGCTCCTCACCAGAATTAACAGTTAAACCATCTTCCACTGAAACCTTAACATTTGGTGGTACCTCCACGAAACCATTCCCAAGTAATATAGTGGCCTCATCCAAACATGAATGCTTGCTACTATCATCGATAGGACCAGCGTCAGAAACAGTAACTTTCCCTTCGGAATCAGTAAGACCGTTGCTGGAAATTAAGGTAGTAATTGCATCATGGTTGGAGCCATCCACATTAACAGTAGCGGAATGAATTTTGGTTTTCTCTGCACTTGATGAACCAACAACAGTATTGCTTCTAACTGAGGGAATAGTCTTTGAAAATTCTTCCATGGCACCATTTTCAAGAGCTACAGTGACTTGATTTAACAAAGGTGGCTCCCAACCAGCATCAAAACCTGAAACAGAAATTTTCTCTGGTCTTTTAATAAATCCATTGTCAGAGCTAGAAGCATTGTGCAGACCATTGACAGAGCTATATGTATTGACGGGGCATTGATGAATTGTGATTGTCTCCACACTTGATGTAGCGGCATTAACCCTGTCTCCAACTGAAACCATAGATTCCAAAGATCCTTTCACAAGACCACTCTCGAGCAGTACAGGGAGTCCATTCTGACAAGACTGCTGGCTATCACCATCCACCCTACCATTGTCGTGATCATAAAATGTACTTCCATTGTGTAATTCAATTAGACCATTGACAGAATTTGATATGGTATGCAAGCCATCAACTGCTCCATCTGCATTTACGGCATCCTTATCAGTTCTGGTCTCCAGGGGACTTGAGGAACCCAAAGGAGGGTCTGAACTATTTCTCTTTCTCTTAGTATCCGATAGATATGTCCTGCCAGAATGATTGTTAGTGCCATCTGTCTCAGAAACTATTTCAGCGACTTCAGAACTCTCAAGCAATGCAGATACATCATTTGGAGAAGACTGAAAAACAATCTCACGCATTGCCCCCATACCAGCAGAAGTGAATTTCTCTTTTGAATGCATTACACTCCCGTCAGGCCGAGAGGCTGCAGATGGACTATTTGAGGAGAAATCCACATTGACAGGCTCAAAATTTTTCTTTGTTGGTTCAGAACTTGATGCACGTGAAAGAGAGCTTACAACTCTCTTCTTTTTCCTGGCCCTGAGTAAACAGGTTCCTTCAGAACCAACGCTGTTACCAGCCTTGTCTGAAAATGATCCTTTCAATCTGCTATCTCTAGGTAAATCATTGGGCCCATTAAAACAAGGCTGTGAATCAATATCACACACAGCACCGCCACCAGAATCCATAACCTTTTCCTCCGACTGCTTTGAGCCCTTGTAAGAACTGGATGGATACTCTGAAACATGTATATAGCTGTCCGATTCCACATGATTTTCACTGAGTTTGGTTAGTGGTGAATATGAAAGGCCCATTCCATTCCTAATCTTCCTATTCCTAGGTGTTAGATTCCTGTCAGAAACAACCGATTGACTTGGAGGAGCCGCAATGGCCTTGGCTACTAATGCATTAGATTTAAAAGAGACATCAAGCTCTACTGGACTTCCCTCTCCATCATCTTCCATACTGTGATCCAAATAATCAAGGGGACCCCTACCTCTAAGAGTACTAGGAGCTGAATCATCAAAATAAACTGAAGAAAAAAGGCGGTCTTCAGTTCTATTCCTATTGTTAGGTTTACCCAACTGAATCCTAAGTAAAGCACTCTTCTTCTGTACTTGTTTCCACGGAACAAAATCTTGGGTTCCTTCCCTACTCCCCCTACCACTGAATTTACCCGAATCATAAGTACGAGTACCTCGTCCCATGGAAAAAACTTGATTCTCATCACCATTACCATACTTATTGCCCTCCATCTCCATCTGAATTTTAGGCAGCTCTCTTGAGGACAAGCGAGAATGAACCCCTCTCCGATTTTCATCTCTACTATTCCACATCCTCTCATTATCTGGCACCGAACCATAACAAGATTCATACTTTCCCAAATTACCAGCAAAATCCCTTGACGGGTTAGGACTAGATACATGTGAAAAATCACCTAATGCAGAATTCCTAGAAGATCCACTAGAATTCAATATATAATTATCACGACCACGACTATAATCATAACTATCATCACCACGACGAGTACTGTTTCTACCCCAAAAGAGCTCTTCAGTGTTATTATGCTTAAACCTATTACTGAAATCATCTTTAAACCTAGAACTACCTTCTACTTTATGCAAATATTTATTGGACATGAGATGGGTTGATAAGGATGTTTGATTATCAAAGGATCGATGGTGATGAGGTTCATGGTCGAAACCGAGAGAGACCGGCCTTGCCGATCGATCTTGGGTCGGAAACCTAGGTGGATCCACCCAAGAATCATGCCGAGAATCTGGGTATGAATTGTCAAATTCGGGTATGCGAAGACGGGGACGATCGTCATCAATTAGGGTTCGAGTGGAAACCCTAGGCGGTGGTGAGTGGTGGCGGGTGAAATCAAAGAGGTGGGTTTTTCTTGGCTTGTCTTCGATTGGGTGGGGACGATTGAGAAACGTGAATTGTGATTGGGGAAGGTAAGATGGTGGTGGTGGTAGTGGCGGCGGAGGTGGAAAAGGAGGAAGAGGGCGGTGGGATTGTGGTGGCGGCGGAGGCGGTGGGAGATGGTGGTGGTTGGGATAGAGATTACGGTGGTCGTCGGAGAAGTTTGGAGGTGGTGGTGGTGGTGGTGGAGGAGGATGGGCGAGAGGAACGTACCTGGGGGGATGCCGAAGGAAAGGTGGGTGCTCCATCGCGTGTAGAGCCGCTCCTGATCTTGAAACTTTTGCTCCTTGCGACTTTCTCTCTCTAAAACTGTGTGTGTTTGTGTGTGTGTCTCTCTCTACATGTATATGCATATATGTGTGTGTGTGTGTGTGGTTTATGTCCTTTTGACTAGTCTGACTTGTATTTCGCAAGTACTAACTAGTAATTTGAACTAGAAGCTTGAATTGTGTGTGATGGACTTGAATCCTTTGCCGCCCTTGCTCGAATACTTGTTGAATTCATGGATTTGGTTCGGACACAATTAAAGTATCCTAAATTTAAATTTAGTGCCCTCACAGTATATGTGGTAGGAATTTGGAAGGTAAATTTTTAAAATGTTATTTTCGAATCACATTCTTGACTTAATACTGTGTTCGGCAGGAAGGAGGGAAGAAAGAGTTATGAAAAGAAAATAGGAATGAAAGAACAAATTTCCTTTTTTGGTAGAAATGATTAAAAAAAAAAAAAAAAAAAAAAAATCGAAAATTGGAAAAATAACTAATCTTTCCGCCTTTATAAATTTTCATCCGCCCATTTTTTAGGCCGAAGAAAGGAGGGAAGACAAGTGGAACGTTATAGAAGTTTTAAATTAAATACTATCAATATAAGAAATTTTAAATTTATTCTCTTCTCTTTTATCCAACCGAACAAAAAGAAGAAAATACATAATCTCTTTCCTAGGGATGTCGCATCCATCCCTTCTTATCTCTCTTCCATCTAATTTTTTTCTTCCCTACCCAACAGAGCATAAATGATGCGTGTTATGGGACCAATTCACGTGTTCTAAGAAAATACATACATATATATATATCCTAAATTGAAATATTTTATTATACAGTTGAAAGCATGGAGTGGTTTCATTTTCTATTTTTAAAAAATAGGATTCAATATAATTTAAAATATAGTATGGGTTAATTATAAAAATAATATAAAAATTAAAAAAACAAAATTAATAAAATAATATTTAACTCTAAACTCCACATTAGTGATTTCATTTAAAATTTTATGAATAAAATAAGTAAAAATTATTATTTATATATATAATGTATTATAGTATCATATTTTTTATATATTCATGTCATATTGATGTCCTATATCGTTTTGAGATTTGTTGTAGCGCCATTCGTGCCTCGGGTAAAACTCACCATTTAAGTTTGGTTCCGATAATCATCATAATCATTAATGTCTAAATCTCATATGAATAAAGTGGTCAGATGAATTCTCTTTTTCTTTTTCTATTCTACAATTCTACAAGGCATCTTTCCTCTAATATTTAACATTTTAAAATCATTTCTAATGAGTTCATCCCATATTAATTTTATGTGCTCTCTCCGCGTCCAACCTTCAATGCAAATTAATCTTTCTCTTCTCATCAATGCATCTATAGATCTTTTGTATATGTGTCCATACCACTTAAGTATACTCTAATATTATCACTAAGAGGTGTCACATCTAATTTCTCTTTCATATTTTGGTTTGTAACCTTATCTCTTCTAGTACTCATATCATTCATCTTAACATTTTCATTTGTGCTATATTAATTCATTAATTTTACTTCTATTTTAAGGTCAAAACTTTACGCCATATAAAATAGTTGGCCTAATAACTATTCAATAAAAAATTTCTTTTAGTTAAAATGGCATCATTTATCACGCAAAACACCACTAGCTTGCCTCCATTTTGTCCAACATGCTCCAATTCTATTAGTTATAGCACCATCTATCTCATCATCTTTTTGCATTAATGACCCTAAATACCTAAAATGTACACTTTGGATAATTATTTTATTTTGAAGTGTAATCCAGGGCCGGTCCTTAGGTAAGGTGACTAAGGCAGTTGCCTAGGGACTCTAATTTGGAAAGGTTTCAAATTTAGTACTATAATGTAATATAGTAGTATATGTCTGATATATCACTACTTCCCATAATTAAACGTAATTAGCCTTTTAATCAATTAAAAGACATCCATTTCAGGCCATAATTTTCATGATTAAAAGACAATAAACAATCATATATCATATAAATTTATGACAATAAATAACTTTAAAAAAAAAAGTTATGACAATAAACGCGTACTTATAATATCAATTTATATATGTAATACAATAATCTGTATAGTAAAAATAATTTATTTGTATCCCTTTCTTTCAAAAGAAAAAAAAAAGATTTTTTTATATTTAAACAAAAAACTAATTTATTTTATTATTATATTAGTTTTGGGCTCATGTGCATGCATGATAGTTAAGCCCAGTTCAAAAAATCAAAATTTTAATTCATGGATGCAATCAATTGCCAAATTTTTAACTCAGCCAGTTCAAACAACAAAATTATGACAGTGATTGGAGTACTTTAATTTATAATTTTGCATCTCAATAAGGCGGTCATGTTTACTTTGATATTAAGTTGAATTTTGATTTTTGTGACTAAGTTGAGTTGAATATTTTAAAAAAATTTAATGTAAATTGGCTTGTGCTCTTTATAAAGTACCAAGAACGGTTTTTACTTTATGTGTTTTCAACCTTAATATATTTTATGTTCTTATCGTCTGATTTTAATGTAAATTTTGAATACATATAAATTTTTTGCTAGTGTGAAACCTTATGTATGTATAAAGGGGGCATTTGAAAATTCGCCTAGGGCTTCTCAAAATTCTGGAAAGCTCAGGTCCGGCCCTGGTGTAATCATTACCACATTAATATCTGATTCTTGTCTAAATTTGTATTTTATATATTCAGTTTTAATTCCACTAACCCTTCATCCTTTTTTATTCTAATGTGTTTCTCTACCTTTCTAATTTAATTCTTAAGTTTTTTTTAGAAGTGTCTAGTAGTACTATATCATCGGCAAACAACATGCATCAAGGAATGATTTACTATAAAGCTTTTGTGATCTCATCTAAATTTAACATAACTAAATATAAACTTAGTGTACACCCTTAAAGCAAACCCACATTTATAAAAAAAAAAAAAAAAAAAAGCTTTAGTCTTCTCACACATAGGGTGAATTCTAATTTTAGTATTTTGATACATATCTTGAATTATTATATTTAAATGAATTTGTTTTTTTTGTAAAGCCTACCAAATTATCTCTAGGCATCACATCATAAGCTTTCTCTAGATCTATAAAAACCATATGTATATAATTTTTAATAGCCCATTCCATAATCTGATTTGTGAATTACAAATTTTATATTATTAAATCCACCACCGATCTGTGAGTCTAATAATCTGATCTAATCCGCATAGATCGGATCGGACTCACGAAATGGCAGATCAAATGCCCACTCATAATGTTTTAGGTCCTAGCCACTTTTTCAAAAAAAAAAAAAGAAAAACATTATTTCAAAGCCTTTCCTTAAAGCACATGGTTTTCAACATTAGTGAAAACATACCTTTCTACAATCAAATTAAAAACACTATTTCCCCAATGATCCATGCAAATACTCTCCCTTCAAGAAGGAAATTCCATATATTTCACTTTCTCAATCCTACTCTAGTATTCGTCTAACTAGGTTTTCTATTTAATCACACAAACCCTATCTTCTATCTAGTTAGGTCATTTAAATTTTAGACTATAGCGTCTGTCTAACTAGGTTTTCCATTTAGTCGCACAAACCCTAGTTTCCGGCTAAGTCATTTAACTTTCAAACCTTAGCTTCCGTCTCGTTAGGCAAACAAGTTTTACTAAACTACTTTTGACCTAATTCTTATTACATTTGAGATACGTAGGTAGTCTAGGCAATCCTAGATTTGGTCTCTCCACTCTTATTTTTCAAAACCCTTTTCTTTCCAAAATCATTCATTCGTCAAAAACTTTCATTTCTAATTATTTTTAATGAATATTTTCCTTTCAAACACTTTATTTTTCAAAATATGTTATCCTTTAGGAATGAAACATAGAGAGAAAAGTAATATTGTCTTACAAATGTTGTGGGGTGCCTAACACCTTCCACATACATAACCAAACCCCCGAATCCATTAATATGGCACACATATTAGATGGTGATTATGTACACACATCTAGGGCCACACACACACTTAACCATAAGTGACCTAGTGTGATACCTTCCGAATTTCCAAGTGTGGGTTGACCAGGCCCACGCCCAAAGACTCAGGGATATCAGAAATAATCAGGTAATAGATGAACATAGAATGCAAGACAAATATAATAAAATAAATAATAAAGTTGAAAGGAAAACTAAATAATAAATAGTTAATAAAACCTTTGATACTAATACTCCAATTAAATCCAATAGATTATAAATCTCCAAAATACAACTCGGGAATACATATATCGAGGACCCCTAAAAAAATCTCATAACAAAAACAACGCTTACTGAAAAAATATCCTACATCGATGATACGGAAGAGTGAAGTTGAATAATCTCTGATTTGCACGAACAACTCTAAGATTGGTAATGCCAAGGACTTAAAAAATAAATAGTGGGTAAGACCTATAAACAAGTTCCTTCTACTACGACCCGATCAAAGAACCGATAATCAATATATCCTAACTAAACTCATGTTATATCTACATAGTCGATATATACATATATACACATTAAGACTCTCATTGGTAATAGGGCAGTCTCAACCGTGTAATGGGTATCTCTTGAAAAAATCGCACACGAGGTGGTCTAGAGTTCACCTTTTACGAGGGTATACACATATCCTAATCCAGCTTCCCATCTAATCCGGTAATATACGCTTCAGTCCTAACCATAGATCCTGAGACCTCAAGCTCGTATCATGGCTCACACATATATATATATACATACACACAACATCAATAAATAAATGTCATATTTAACAATGGCACAAGTAGAGTGTCATGACTTATTAGCTAGCCCACTTACATATTGATCCAACAAAAACCATATCTAACAATGGTATAAAATATCAAAGAGCCTAACTTATTAGTTATCTCAATGATCACAATACATACAAGAATAAATCTCACCAAAGCTAAACAATAATAGCACAACAATTATAAATCATAATAGTTCAAGTCTATAACAATAGATATGATAGAATCATGATTTAAAAATCATAATATTAACTACTCATATTTAACAATGAT